GGATTAAAAGAGTAAAAGATTAATGACATTTTTTGTTTTTGAACCTGACTTTATACACATGAAATATATCAAACGAGCCGGATTTGGCGAGCTGATATTCGAGCAGGAGAAGTCAGTATCAACACATAAAATGGCATAATTATTTTAATCGGCAGTTTGTTTTAAAAAATGTTCCTATTGACAGAATATGGAAACATGAATCGGCAACAAAAAAAATCTTGTTCACGTACAAATGCGACTGTATTAATAAGGTCGCGTGCACTAAAAAGAGATATTGACCAGTGTATGTAATGTGGAAATCCTATAATGTCATTTTTACTGTATCCGTGATGAATTTCTGATGTAGAATGATAAATAAACAGACGACAAATTCAAGATTTTTGAATAATATAAGCAATAATGTATAATGTGTACTGTTTTTATAAATTCATGTTATAGGTATGAGATGCGGACGGGTTTTCATCGCGCCTAAATATTAAGAATAGTTCACGAACAGAGCGTGCAAGAGATTTAAAAGTAGCAGTTAAGTTTCATTTGCAGAAAAATGTACCTTTTAACATAATTATTAATGTTGTTTAACTTAAAACAGGTTTTGTTATTCAGCTTGTTGATATTGAATCAAACTCCACTATGCGGTTTTCGTTATGCGATTCATGTTTACTGTCGAATAATGATACTAAACTTTCATTTTCACTATAGGGCGATTCATTTCTATTATATATGCGATGCATTTTCACAGAAGGAAATTAATTCATTTTCATTATATAAAGTCTTAATTCAGCCGACTCTCTAACAAAATTTATGAGGTCAGAAGGATTAATTATATATGCATACTTAGTGAGTGAAAGTCTGAGGTAATATATCAATAAATTCCTTAAACATGGTATTTATTGCTAATATAGTCAATTCTGTTTTCTCAAATAATTTGTCCTGATCTATATGTAGGATAAAATTTATTCTTTCCTATGACACGTCATCATTAAATACATATATCTTGGACAGTTAAGCCAATCCACGTCACCGGAAAAGCAAAGTTTCTGTTTCGGTCTAAATCTACATCGCATACTAATAAATTAAACGTAATGAGAGCTAATTTCCTAATGCTTGTAGTTAAAAGGTGTGGTTGGCCTTGATTGTGTAAATGTTGCCTAAGCATTGTAATTAAGATTGAGCAAACGTTTATACAAACAAAGCAAGCAAGCCAACCAAACCTTCAAACTACAAGCGTTAGGAAAATAGCTCTAATGGATGCATTTGAGATAACAAAGAGCATTCACAAAACGATCTTCATTTCACGATTGAATGAGTGGAAACGTTTTCAACTTGCACAAACAATTGACGCTTGGATGACTGGATAATTGATATTTATCATGCCATTGTGTATAAATCTTATACAGTAAAGAAAGTTCGAGCAGTCGAGTCACCTTAAATATGCTTGAATTTCATATAAGTCGGTGTTACAAATAAGCCAATACGCAATTGTTAGAATACAAAGAAATATTGAAAACAGTTTATTTTTACATGTTTAAATGGTTCTATACCACGGGGTATAAGCGCCGTACAGTTGATATTCCGGACGTTAATAGCTACATCGCGAAGCAATGTTGGTAGATATACCGTTCTTATATTTACACCAAATACTAATTGACTAACTGTTCAGTTAAGTATTCAATGTTTATGAAAACAAAGTTTACTGCTCCTGGCAGCATTGTATATCATTTATATTACATGAACACCATGTGACTATTTTAAATAGACAGGTCTGTGAATTACTTTTAAACATCGCGAAACAAACACTATGTGTAACTCAAACTTGATTAAACTACAAATAGAGCATAGTTGGTTGGCTCTTTCACTAAATGCGACCGTGTATTTTGTGCTTTATTGTTGTTAAAATACATAATATGAATGAGAAAACCCGTTGTTTTCATTTTATTTGAAGACATTTACTTGAAAAACTGACCTCAGAATTTTGACACTGTACGATTCATTCTCTTTGTAGTTTGTTTTCTTTCTTTAGTACCGTTCGTTGTACATTCTTGCACTGTTCGTTGTGCAAAAGCCTATCAATACGGTAGAAATATGTATGACACGGCGTGACAAATGTGCAAAGCTTTTTTAAGCGAGTTATAAAACTTTTCAAAGAAAATTCGTCGTAGAAAAACGTTATATTCATGGATGTTCTGCCCCAGTTAATTTTCGGATCCATGACAAGCTAATAGCAAACTCACCAACAATATTTGAATATTCATGATATGAACGTGGTTATACCCGTGTATATTCAAGTAAGCATCTACGACTAGCTTGCATTTCAAATTGTAAATATCATCAATATTAAAGTCTTTTAAAAACTATTTTCAGTTGTTGTATGTCGAATAATCATAAAAAACGACAATGAAAATTCATCGCGCTTCCAAAAATTCCACATCAGAAATGATTGCACTTACAGTGATAATTCATCGCATCTATAGTTAAAATGAATCGCATTCAGTAATCAATATTATGGATTCTGCTGCTTAAATAACACTTTTTTGGACTTTAATCCTGTTATTATACATTAAAAAAGTTATATTCTAATGAAATTCTGTTAAAACATACATTCAAATCTATTATTTTGTATTTTCAAAAAGTAAACAAACGCAGTTTTTCCCATCATCCTTTATTCTACAATAGACATACTCGCATACAACAGTGAAAATGAACTAACTGGATTCGCACTTTATATACACGGTTGACGGAGATGGAATACATTACGTCATCGTCTGCTAATTCCGAGCATCACGTTCCTTCTGCGATCTTACAGAATATTAGGCAGTAGAATCAAAGGTGAAATGTACAAATTGAGAGTAATTTCTTTACCCGCCCCTCGAAAAAATCAATCTGTCGTCCCCGTCCCATAACATTCTTGTTTGAAGCCCTGTGATAAGAAGTCAAGGTAATTTAGAGTTGACTTCTTTTCGACTGCAGCTCAACAACATAAAAAAAAAATATATATCCGTAGGTCTGATTACGTTCTATACAAAATTTCAGGTTCTTAAAACATAATAAATACTACTAAGAGCTGCCAGCGATGCCAAATTCATTAAATGACGCAAACCATAAAGATTAAACCAAAAAAGCAAAAATTTACGTGCCGTCATCATTTCCGCTTTGTCTGCAAGTATTATGGTCTGCTCAGTAAAAAGTATACCCTAAAGGGTGGGGGATTACTTCAGTTTTCCGTTAAAAATTGGTACAGAAGTGCGGCTTGAATGTGACCCCCCCCCCCCCCCCCATTCATATATTAATGCATAAAATCTTGAGCCTACTCATATATGGGGGTGGTTCTGAGCACGAAAACACCTGAAATCAGATGCGGATTGACCTTACACTGAAACACTTTGTGATACACATTCCCTTGACGCAATTTAACAACAGATTTTTACACGTCAAGAGCTTTTCCTTCCGGGAACCGCAGCAATTCAACATGAAAAGGCTGGAAAGTGACCCCCCCCCCCCCCCCATTCATATTAATGCATACAATTTTCAGCCCACTCATATATAGGGGTTGTTCTGAGCACGGAAACACTTGAAATCAGGTGCGGATCCAGGATTTGAGGGGGGCGCAAAAAATATTGTTCCACCTAGAGGAGCGTGGTGCGAAATCCATTTGGGTAAAAATGCCAAAATTAAACCAGGGTTCTAATAGAATGGTGCAAACAAGATATTTCATCAACAAAAAAACATGTGATCAAGACTGGTAAATTAGCAACAAATGATCAAGTTAAGATATCCTATGATTAGATCACAAACGCCAATAGTTTCTGTCGGGAAGACTATTCTTTTGGGTGTCATATTGAGTGGTGGTATTTCGTCTGTGACACGCTTCAAAAAGATTTAAGATCTTAATATCGCCTTACACCAAAACTATATATCTTCAAATTATGAACCAAAGTATATTTCGCGGGTCTTTTCTAGTATTCATTATTTAAGAGACACGCTGTTATTCGTATGTTTTTTTTTTATTAGATATCATGATTATGATATGAAAATAAATACATTAATTAATTCATTCTAAATGTCTTTAAATAATATAGGGTATCTAAAAAAAAAGGCGGCAAATGATAATTGTTACGTTGCATGAAATATTTTATATGTTATGATAGAAAATACATGTTTTCTGAAAAAAGATTTATACATATAAGTAAAGCTTAGATATTACAAAATCTCGGTCAAAAAGGATAACAAAACATGAAACTCACAATTTGAATATTCATCCACACCAAGATGTTTACTAATGTTTAAAAGGAGAGTCGAAAGATACCAAAAGGGATATTCATACTTACCAGTCGAAATCAAACTGTTAATGCCATAACAAAAAACGACGAAACCACAAACAGCAGTCCACAAAAAACACAACATAGAAAACTAAACACCGAGCAACACGAACCCCGCCGAAAATGGTGGAAGGGGACATTCAAATTATAACACCAGCCGAAGGACACACATGAACTTCAATCCTTTCCACATGAAAATTATTTCCTTTTATTGATACAACTTTTTCTAAATACATTTACAATTTTAAGGATGTTCGCTCCTCTTGTTTTTGAAAATTTGCCAGATATTCGGAATCCTCTGGTTTTATGGTTTTATCGATGTAGTGCCATTAAAAAATTTCCCCACTAGCCCCTAATTTTCTTTTCATAATATTATTACACATAGTTTAAAAAGCCGTATTTGGAAATGCTATAAAATCATTGTTATTTTTTCATAATTTTTAAAAGAAGAAGGGTACCAATGCTAAATGTATGAAAAGTCTAGAGAGAATTATTTCCCGCCAAATTTTCAAAGGCGAATATATCGAAAATAACCACACGAACCCTTAATTTTTTTCTGCTTTTTTAGTTCCTTTATTTATATACTATCAATTTACAACAGTCTTTTAAAAAGCTTGTTATTTTGAAACAGAGTAGCGAACATCCTTAATTACATGTCATTTACCATTTCATGTTATTTCTTAGATTATGAATGTGTCGAGGAATCACAACATGGAAATTCGACATGTCCTCCAATAGAAAATAAAAGGTATATCTATTACAAAAATGTCTGTACAAAGTCAGGAATATGACAATTGTTATCCATTCGTTTGATGTGTTTGAGCTTTTGTTTTTGCCATTTGATTAGGGAGTTTCCGTTTTGATTGTTCCTCGGAATTCGGTATTTGTTTTTTTTTACTTTTAACCAGGTCAGCCTAACTAAGTTTTATGGCTTAATCGACCATGTCATAATATCTTAATCCCCTTTCAATCCAAAAGGTATTTGATATGAAACTTACATGTCAAAAGAATAAAATCATACCATTTGAACAATAAATACCCGATGATTTTTTTTCCTGTGTGATATGATAATAATATTGTTGCACAGGAGCATCATATCTAGCAATAAGTGAACAAAATATTAGATGGAAGAACTCATACGCTTTAGAACGGATATGTAGTTCCTGTTCCATTGTTGCATCCGTCATTAATCTTTCGTTCTTATAAAACCCATCAAATATACCAGTCGTAAAATTTGGTACGCGAGATTCGAGTATTGTCTACAAAATACTCATCAGTGGCGCTCTAATCAAATCAGTTGGAAGTCAAAATCAAATTCGTATTTGAAAAGCATTAAAACCAAACAAATCCGTATAGATGTGCCAAATATGGTTAAGATACTGTAAGGCAACCTTTATTTAGTGTATATGAACAAGTTCGCCACATGATTCATTTAATGTTCACTTAATGTTCATCATTTAATAACCAAAGTTCTTTTTAGTTGATAGGGTGTGTTTAAACTGCACCAAATATACCAGGTCTATAATTGCAAACGCCAGACGTTTCATCTACACAAAACACGTTAGTGTCACTCAAAAGAAAACAGTTGAATGGCATTGAAAACCAAAATTTCTTCAAAGTTATGCGAGAATATATTTAAATTTGTTTTAAGCTATAAGCCACTAGGAGTTATACACTATTGATTTTACCCTATAGTCTTTGTTAAATTTGCCACAAAATTGTGCAGAATTTGTCTTTGTTTCACACTGACAAATGATAGGAATAAGTGAAAAACAACAGCCATATTAAGGACTCGGTACAAGCTTATATCTTTGTTTCAAATAATGAAATACTTGGCATGAGTAACGTTCTGTCCTTTCCAGTACCACAGGGAGAATTTCACATAACATTTCATTGCATATAAGATAATAAATAGGAGTAATATCACCCCATTGTTTTTCCCTTCTTAGTCTTTGTTAAATTGGCATTTTACAAAATTGTGCATAATTCATTTTTGTTTCAAATAAAGAAATAATTGGCATGTTTACATTTTTATCCTGTCTAGCACTACAATTAAATTTCACAAACCATGTCATTGCATACAGTATAATAAGCATCACTGGAAGTAAACCTAACACATATTCACCCCTTTTTTCCTGTGTACAACCATGTCACTTCTAATTTCCATTTTTTTTAATAGAAATTCCAAATGAAAAAAATAATGATGTTCTGTAACACCAAAGATATATAATAAAGACAGAGAAATTTTGTTCTGCAATGAAATACAGGGTTATTTTGCTACTGTCAAATTCAAGGCAATAATTTTTTCGATCCTTTTTGTACGAAACCGGATGTAACGTACTATGATTTTGTGGTATTACACACTATGATATTTGCTAATCTTTAAATCTCCCTGTGTTAAAACAGGTCGTGCATTTATATCATAGAGTATCAGAGATCTTCCCCAACCATCATATTAATGCTGTCATTTGATCATAAAAGCAGTCGGGTTAAAGTTAAGATCACTTATATCATTAGTAAAACTATATCTACCTTGCCTTTCATTCATAAACGGGTTTGTTTTTAGCGTTTTTATTTAATTTTTGTGTCGTTACGTTTACATGAATTCCGCGTGTGCTCTTATTCTTAATAAACAATTGCTGTTGAAACCATAATTATAATTATTTCATTTTTGTTTATACTTGACTTGTTTATTTATAGCAACAGTTCGCAGTCTCAAAAAATTAAGAGATATAGAGGTAAATATACATACACGTCTCTCTCTCTCTCTCTCTCTCTCTCTCTCTCTCTCTCTCTCTCTTTGTGTGTGCGTGTGTGTGTACTGGTGTTCACTAATTGGTATGGTTTATTTCCTTATCCTCAACCATACACATACATATTTCATAGGCATGCTAGGCACAATGAGAACCAGCTTAATCAGAGTGTTGCAAACAACTAATTAACAATTAAATTTTATGATTTTATAGATATAAGAAGATGTAGTATGAGTGCCAATGAGACAACTCTCCATCCAAGTCACAATTTATAAAAGTAAACCATTATAGGTCAAAGTACGGTCTTCAACACGGAGCCTTAGCTCACACCGCTCAGCAAGCTATAAAGGGCCTCAAAATATACTAGTGTAAAACCATTCAAACGGGAAACCAACGGTCTAATCTATATAAAAAATGAGAAACGAGAAACACTTATGAACTACATCAACAAACGACAACTACTGAACGTCAGATTCCTGACTTAGTACAGGTGCAAACAATTGCAGCGGGTTTAAACGTTTTAATGGTACCAAACCTTCACCCTTATCTGAAACAATAGTGTAACATCACAACATAGAAAGACACACTTTAAAATATCGATTGAAATGGCTTAACTCAATCAAAAGACATACAATGTATTAACACAAGTGAACATACACTGAACGAATAAATTTGATCTATGATACAATGTAAATACAAAATCAATAAAAATAAGGGATGAATAATATAAGTAACAGTATGGCTGTATTTTAACAAAACAAAAATATCATCGTTATAATACCCATACCGGCGCACTGGCTTCTAATAGAATAGTCCCCTTAGACCGATAGTACATCGGCATTAAACGTGTTTTAAACCTGCAATCAGTTTTGAATCGATGTGTTGAGAGCAAATTATTTTTTGTTTTATTTTTTTATTTTTTTCAGAGCAACAGAGAAGGGAACAACTGAGTAACGGTGTGATTGTTAGTATTGGCGTGATTGTTCTGATTATGTTATATGCAGGTAATTCAGATAACCATATTATCGAAAATAATGCCAAAGGTCTAGTTGCTACGCTTAACTATTTTTTTTCAATCTTGATTCAATGTTTCTTTCAATCATAAAGAAAACTATACACAAATAATAGATAAAAACAATAAGGTGACCTCTTCTAACCATTTTTAAAACTTTCAGGAGCTGCTTCGTCAATTTTCTGTTTCTAATATGAAAAAAAGTCAAAGCAAAACAGGCATTCTCCCTCTCTCCAAATAAAAAATGGAAGACAAATCAACCCCAAATTTCGACACAGCAAATAACATATTAGATAGGTAAGATAAAACCTATCATGATATTACTTTTGAAAATTCATATGTTGTGTTTCAAGCAAAAACAAATATCCATTTGATGAAACTGCGTAGCCGGCAACCAATCCAGCCCATAATTTGAAGGTAGAGAAATGCAAGCTGAATGTTGAAGAAAAAAAATCAGCATAAAAAACTACCTTAGAGGTAGTTGTGAAGGCTCGGAATACGTAAATATATCAAATAAAAACAATGTTGATGCCATCATGATGCGTTATTTCAAATTTCAAGTTATAATAGCCTGCAGTACAAAATATTAAAAAAACTTACCTATAACTCGCTCCATTAGTAATTCATACTTTTGACTCAGTTTTTGGTTGTTTACTTGATTTGTCTCTTTTAAATCGATTGACGAGATTTGAACACCAATAAACTACTGTCACCCTAATAATAAAATAAAATGTTGCTATACATGGACATTTAAATAAGATATCTAATGTCTTTACCAAATTCATTTAATTAAGTTATTTTAAGTTTGTTTTATATTTCATCTTTCAATTCGTACACATCACATTTACACACCATTCAAGCAATATGTATAAACCAAAAACACCTCTGATCATAAGCTGATTAATACCAGAACTTCATCAACATAGTGTCCATCATGAAAAAGTGTCCATCTAAATATAAAATTCCCGTCAAAAAATGAAAACTAATCAATACCACCAAATCCTAATTGAAACACCTGATTAAATCAAATCTACGCGAATTTAAAATTAATACCATGCAATAATCTTCAGGTAATATATATAATACTGCCGTAGTTATAACTATAGCTAAGTGGGTAAATCGGGCTACTATAAGCTAACAATAACAAAGGTGCCTAGCATGAGTGGATCTCTATTCAAACTCAATAATCAATACGTCACACGTAAGTGACGTTACATTGACTGCTTTAGTACGAACCTTTGCATTGATATGAAATGCTGCAGTAGCGGTTTGATTTTCCGTAAGATCAGCGGAATTGCCATCCTCCATAATATTGAGTTCATGAAAAATTTCTTGTTGTAATTTAGTTAATTGCCAACTAGTTGAACCATGTTGTCTTGTTAGAATTATGCGTATGTCTACCGGTAACTTTTTCAATATGATACGGACAAATAATGAGCCATAGGTACCCTCTGTCTTACCAATGGGTTCTAACCCACGTACATATGTTTCAATTTTGTTGTAATAATTGCGTAAGCTCTGTATAGTATTCTTGGGTGACGGTATTTCAAGTAATGCATTCATGTACTTTTGCGTGTTTTTTGTGAACTTGTCCATACCTTTATTGTAGCAACGAAACTGCTCTTTCGTAGTTTGAGTTTGTAAGTGCAAAGCCATTTTCGGTTTGGAAAGCTTCATCGTGTAACAATGACTTCAAGTAATTGAATCTCTGGACGTTACTCAATGCTGGGTTTGTATGTACTGCTGTTTCATACGAGTCCCAAAAGGACTGCCATTGTAGAATGTCACCATCGAAAGTTGGTAAATCGAGTTTAGGGAGCTTATTGTACATTCTAGCAATTGAAGACTATGAGCGAAAATCTGAACGGAAATGTGTGATGTGCTGATTTTCTGTGATCTGTGGACTACTAGTACTAGGATATGATGACGGAACGTCGCTTCTAGAGTTTATAAAGCTTGTGGCATTTATATTTAGCGTTGATGTTTGTACAGTGATACATTTGGCTATTTGACTTTTTTTTGTTTCTAAATTAAATGAATACTCATCTAAATCAACAATTTCTGTTTCAATGTCCTCTTGATTCAAATACTGTATAATGTCTTCATCTAATTTCCTCTACAATTCTTGTTTCCTTTTCAAAAGGTCTAAAATGTTTAAAAGTTCATCGGAATCCACCAGTTCTGTCCCGCTCTCCCGAATTTCGTCGAATTTCTTGAATATTCTTAAAACGGCACATCTTTGTCCTGCACGTATAGATGTCAGCTTCAAAAACATCCTAGTAACCTGGCACCAATATCTTTTAATAGGTAAATCGGGCTAACAATAACAAAGGCGTCTCTATTCAAAATCTATAATTAATACGTCACACTTAAGTGACGTTACAATGAATAGCGGCAGCAAGAAAGTTTCGTTTGTGCGTTACTTCCAACAATAACTATATCTTCTAAAATAATGAGGTTAAATTAAAAATATAGAAATATTCATTATGTACATAAAATACGTATATCGTAATATAACTTATTGTGTATCACAAGAACTTAATTTAACCAATGTTTACTGACTGAATTGGTTCATTGTCAAAACATTTCCATTAATTTCAAATTTCTGTATTCACGTCTGAAAATTTACCACAAAAGTCTTGAGGCCTTTTAGGTAGTCTTTCCATCTTAACAAAGTTCGTCAAATTCATAAGAGAAATAAATCAGATAAAGAAAGGTTTATGAATCCAGTTTTTGAGTCGGACGTTACATCAGATGCACCAATATGGCAAAGCCTTTAATCCAAAATGACATGATAGCTGTTGATTTGCAACATTGAGATGTTAGAACAACATACGAGCTGATTGAATAACGCAAAATGCAATTTAAAACAACGGGTAATGACAGTCTTATGAACACACAGGAGTTATACCACATAAGTAGTTTTGCCATTTTTAGCTCACCTGGCCCAAAGAGCCAAGTGAGCTCTTCTCATCACTTGGCGTCCGTCGTCTGTTAACTTTTACAAAAATCTTCTGCTCTGAAACTCCTGGGCCAAATTTAACCAAACTTCCCTACATCATCATTGGGGTATCTAGTTAAAAAAATGTGTCCGATGACCCCGCTTGCCAACCAAAATGGCCGACATGGCTAGAAATAGATCATTGGGGTAAAATACAGGTTTTGTCTATAATTTTGAAACCGATATGAATAGGGAAAATCTGTCAGACGACTTCTTATGAGAGTTATTGACCTATATCTTAGAAATTAAAATAGATAGATAGAAACTTAAATAAGCAAAAATGATCAGCAAGACAAGATTTATAATTATGACAATCGGACGAAATCGTCCAACAACTCCTTATGAAGTTATTGCACTTTAATGACGATTTTTACCATTTTTTGGCGTTTTGCCTTATATAATCAAAAAATTTATAGGCATGATCTACTAACAAGGCATTTTTTTCCGATAGCAAGTTAGTAGCATGTCACTCTTAGGAATGATTGTCCTTAAATGAAGATTTTTTTTACACTCTTTAGTGTTTTGAGCAAAAACTAAAGAAGATAGATAAACACTAATCTGATTAAATGTTCAGCAATACAAGATCAACAAAACAGAGATTTTTGTCATGAATTCTATTCTCGTCTACATTGTTTGAGAGTGTTCTTTGTTGAATATGCACATAGACCAAGGTGAGCGACACATGCTCTTTAGAGCCTCTAGTTTGGTATACAAATAGTGTTTTCTTACAATGTCGTCACACGGAAAAAGCAGTTTTTGTTCAGTCAAGAGCACACATGTCTGTCGACGGACTCAACGGAATTCATTGCGAAGGGCAACATATGACAAAGGAATTTTTACAGCGATCCTTAAGCACTGCTTTTTATCTATGTGCTAAACTAATCGTAAATGTACATATCAAGAACAGTCGGAACAGAGGTGTTAGAATGTATACACGATAATCGATGATCCGAAAAACCGATTACTTAGGTTGTCTGAAAATCACTATTTAATTCTGAAGAAAGACGGGGATTTTTACATGTTCAATAGGTTCTGATAGATCTCTTTGAAGAAAGGGTTTCATTTTTAAATGCATATTTAATGATGTTGAATCGATCTGCAAAGGCTAGTGGAATGCAATTGATAAGCAAAAATCCTTAAGACATTGCTACACAAGAAGTACCCATCCTTTATTGAAATATGAATCGAAGAGAATGTGCCGCCATCTTTAATATTTGTGTAATTCATATACCGGTATATTATTGCAAAGATCAAAACAAAACAAGCTATTTATTAAAATACAATGAAAATGCATTAGCTGAAAATATCGGATAGATAGCGAGAGCAACGTATTTGGTACAAACGTACAGCGTTTTCGGTTTTGATTGTTCTTGAACTTTGTATTCGATTTGTTTCGAGTACCACTGATTAGTCTTATACAGACGAAACGTGCGCCTGGCGTACCAAATTATAAGCCTTGGTTTCGTTGATGAGTTTAACTGTCACCGGGAAGGCTCAAATAAAACAACATTAGGAGATTTTGAAATACTTGAGGACCTATATGTCCAAACAAGATTTTAACAGAAAAGCCAATACCATTTTAAATCAACTTTGCCAGAATGAGCTGGAATACCAGTTTTGCAATAGTTCTTTAATTTATCAATTGAAAAATAGCCATGAGCAGCGGTGTCTATCCTTTTAATATTGGAATATCGGCCTCTGTTTATTGTAATTTTTCTGAACACAATACTCTCAAACTTAGTATATTGTGTGAAACGTCTTCTATTTCAATATTGTCATGATGGAAACTCAGTTAAATCTTTTTTCAGCACAAGTTCGCAACCAGATCACATCCACTTAAAGCTTTTGAAATAAACTAAATGATTCCTTCAAAATAAGTGTATGAATAGGGCTTTAATAAGACTGAAATTTCTTAATAAATTCATTCATGTGGAACAGGATTTGCTAACCGTTTCGGAGCACCTGAGATCACCCACGTTTTTTGGTGGGGTTCGTGTTGCTCAGTCTTTAGTTTTGTATGTTGTGTTTTGTGAATATAAGTTGTCTTTGATCTTTTCGTTTATTACCATGGCGTTGTCAGTTTATTTTCGACTTATTAGTTTGAATGTCCCTTTGGTATCTTTCGGCTTTCTTGTACAGTCTTTTCAGATTGGATCAGACAAAAATGTTCATTTTGGAATAAAATTTAATGACTAGTTTGACTTGAAATCTCTACGGATTTGACACCAGTTGTTTGCTGTTTATGTCGTTTCGTCCAATCTTTTTGCAAAATGAGAAGTTGTTTGTGTTTTCTTTTTTGGCCGAACAAACGATATTGAATGGCCTGAAAACGTTTGAACATTTTTTTACGATCAAAGGATAAAACTTTACGAAAATTTCACAAAAAGGGAAGGCATCTCTTTAAAAGTAAACGATTATTCATTTTTCCCCTTTAGAAACCAGCTTCAATTACGGTCTACATATATTATACTTTTTGTTTTCAGTGATGGTTTTCATCGTTCTCTGGACAAAACGAAAACAAAGTGAACGTGAGAAAGGTAAACTGATATGTAATAAATATTTAAGTTTTAGTTGCAGATCTTTGATAGTCTCTGTTTAATTTATTCATATTCTTTTAGGCTCAGGAAATATGGAGCGTGACATATTATAAAGACAACTGATTGTTGTTAAAGACCGTATGTTGACCTTGAGATTTCGTTTGCTTTTTTGTGTATTTAGGTTGTCGTCTTATTTAGATGTACTCCACATTTATATTTCTCACTGATAATGTAGCGCGTCTGTTAAATCATATGAAAACTACCAACTCTCAATTATTATTAATATTGTTGACATTGCCCAAATCCACGTCTCTCTGTATTTTTTGTGATGTTAATGTTGAACTCTATTTTAAATTACAGTCATCGATATTGGAGAATGAAACGACAGAATGTGTTTTCGGTTTACCAATATTAATTCGATCAATGCGATCAATAATTGCTTAGTTATTTATTAAACACTTATTTAAGAGTAAAGGGGTTTCTCTTACTGATTTTAAATGTACGTTCTATTATGTATAATGTATCTTTTATTATTCCATTGATTTCAAGGTTAAGACTAAAATTGGTAGTAAAATCTTAAATAAAATTAGTAATCTCCCATGTAGCCGTTTGTCTACTCCAAATTAGGAACCTAGCTATTAAACCAAGAGTTCCAAATGGTAAAGTTGAAATCATCCCTTCGTAAATATTACGGACGCCATCACGAGTTGGTTGACCGCTATGGAATATCCGTTTCCAAATGATAGCTGATATGTTCCTAATGTCGTAACTACAATCCCGTACCCTTTCCAAGAATGTGATCTACCGAATTAGACTTGTTATCGGGTTTGTACTAACATGAGCAACACGACGGGTGCCACATGTGGAGCAGGATCTGCTTACCCGTCCGGAGTACCTGAGATCACCCCCAGATTTGTTGGGCTTCGTATTGCTTAGTCTTTAGTTTTCTATGTTGTGTTTTGTGTACTATTGTTTGTCTGTTTGTCTTTTTCTTTATTAGCCATGGTGTTGTCAGTTTATGAATCGAAGCAATGAATGGGAGAGATGCATAACTGTTATTTATGAAAACTTTATATAAAAGATATATAGATAAGATGTGTATATGTTTGTATAACAGTTAGTTATAAATACGTTACAACACTTCTTTCACAGTCTCCCCTTAGACAATAATAATTATTAGCAAACAAGTTCCTGTGGCACGAGATATACAAGATTAAAAATTATACAGAGCTGAACTTCAAGTAAGCAAATTCTGCAAATTCCTTACTACAGATATAGAGTGAATAGTTTTATTCATTATACAAATAGATATTAAACAAGTACTCAAGTACCATTTAAACTGAGATTATCAGTTACAACATGACAATCTAGAGTATTTATACTATAACAACTGTATCGTTTGAAAATAGTGATTAGTTATATGTGTTGTATAAAGTAGGTGTGTTAGATTAATCTTCGGAGGTCATCTCAATAGTTAATTAGATGGCGTCTTGACTAAAATACACACAGAATTCTGATATATATATTACCGAGTCCATGCATTGTTAATAGTTTAATTAAGACTTATTGTAATTTGAATATACGTTTTAGTATGTTATAAATCAAATGTGAGAATTTGAGTCAAATCGGTGAACACGAATTTGACAGCTAATATCCCTTTTAATCAAAAGTAATTTTTTAAAATTTTATAACAGCAAATTTGTATTAAACAATGTCCGTATGTTCATGCCAAAACCGAACTTCTAGTTAAGGATAACAATAATAAAAACCGCAATCATATTAATTTGATTTTATTTACAGTATATTTATTTTATATTTTTTATACTTAAAACGTTTTATATAACGTTTATTCAGGGGATGCATGCATAGTAGGAGACGCTTACCCTGTCGACAAATTTGGTTGCACTCCTTTTTGATTGCGATTCCCTCAGTTTTTATTTGTTACCTTGAACGGTCTCTTCTTATTCGATTTGCGAGATTGTAATATCGGTAAACTACTGTCACCTACATTTATCTATTGTAAAATTGTATGTTTCATCTGTTATTTTGTTCTTTGAATTTTCTATTCTGAACCTACGACAAATATGTAACGTTATTTTCATGAGCAAATAAGAAACAAAAAATACAGAACTCCGAGGAAAATTCAAAACGGAAAGTCCCTTTTCAAATGGCAAATCAAAAGCTCAAACATAATCAAACGAATGGATAACAACTGTAATATTCCGAACTTGGTACAGGCCTTTTTTTATGTAGAAAATGGTGGATTAAACCTAGCTAAACCTCTCACTTGAATGACATTAAATTCTAAAATAAAATTTTATTATATTGACAACAATGTGTAAACAATACAAACAGACATAATAGGTAAAAATATCAAAAAAGGGGTATATGAGTCAACATTGTGTTATAATCTTAATCACTATAAAAACAAACAAATATGTCAAAAAAGAAAAAACAAAAAGGCATATAGACAAAGCACATAACCAAAAAACAAAAATTAGCCATAACACAATAAACTCCCATTTATCGGTATAACTTATTACACATGTAAGTAAAAATAAGTACAAGTTATGTTTCATTTTTTTTTTGTAGATAACCGGTTGAAAAAATACATCGTGTTCAGTGCTGAATGGAATGAACTTACAAAAGCAACCTACAAAAACAACCTGTCGAAAGTAAAAAAAGAACTTCTCAAAGACGTTAATAATAGCGATATGGCGATATCAATGAAAATAGCATGTATAGCAGGATATACTTCAATTGTAAAAGTAGTCTTACCTCAATTTATACTCAAAAACCTTACCACTTTAGACGACGAAGGTAATACACCTCTATTGTATGCAAGTATAGCTGGTAAGCTCAGCATTGTCAAATTATTTTTGAAAAATGTTAATGATAGTAGTAATAAAGGCCAGACGCCTTTGATGAATGCATGTAGATATGGCTTTATTGAGATTGTGGATCTTCTTCTTACCTACGGGGCTGAAGTTAATGTACAAAATGAAATGGGCGAATCTCCTTTGAGTCTTGCTTGCCAACATGACCGTGGTAATGTTGAGGTTGTCAAAATACTTCTTACCTACGGGGCTAAAGTTAATGTACAAAATGGAAAGGGTGAAACCCCATTAATTTTAGCTTGCCAATCTGACCGAATTAATGTCATTAACAAACTTATTGAGGCTGAAGCTGATGTGACTATATGTAACAATGCTGGTGAAAGTGCGTTAATGTACGCATGTGGAAATGGTACTTTAAATGCGGTACGGATTCTTAATCGTACTAAATGTAGTGTTAATGATGTTGATACAGCAAAACGTTCTACGTTATTACATGCCTGCAGTTCACTTTCTCCTACTTATCTATACAAAACACTAAATATTAAGAAGAAACTAGTAGCCATACTTTCAGGAACAAGCAAATCAGTTTGGTCTAAACGACGTTCTGTTGTTACAAGATTCCTAATAAACAATAATGCTAACGTGAATATGGCGGATGAACGAGGAGTGACACCATTGATGCTTGCATGTCGGGCCAAGTGTGAAATAAGTGTCGATCTTCTTTTGACAAATAAGGCCGAAATTAATGTAACTGATAACATAAATAGTTCAAATGCTCTTTTGTGGGCAATGCAAGGAAACCCTGATATCCATATGATAAATATAATTAAAATGTTAATACGAAAGGACGCTGATGTTAACATTATCGATGCAGAAAAGAATACTTCTCTTATAAATGCATGTTATAAAATTATTGATGTTAATAGAAGTGAAGAGTTCCTGGCAATGATAAATGCTAGTAGAGATTATTGTGTACAAATTGTTGATTTATTACTAAGAAACGGTGTTGACGTTAATGCAAAAAACAAATCTGATGAAACCTCTTTAATTGTGGCTTGCAAAGGTGACCATGTGGATATAATTGAGAGACTCATTCATGCAGGAGCTGACTTAAAAAGAGACGCTTTCAATGCATTCTGTGCCGCATGTGAATACGGTTCTTTTGAATCGGTCAAGATTTTATATCAATTCAAGACATTAGATATAATAGATTCAAGCGACCGTTCCTTGTTATTTCACGCATGTAGTGCACTTCATTTTAAGTCAGTTTGTTCCCCTCAATGTACTTCGCTTATTGGTTTCATTATTGGTAAATATGGTGACGTGAATAGAGCTGATAACCGCGGCACCACACCGTTAATGCTTGCATGCCAAAACAATTGTCCGAAAGCCGTGGAGGAATTGTTAGCAAATGCAGCCTCCATAAATGCAGCTGACAAAATTGATGGTTCAACAGCTCTAGCTTGGGCAATGCGGTGTAAATCAGAGAATGATATAATAGCAGTAATCAAAATTTTGGTAAACCAACACGCTGATGCTCACAAAAGTAATGACCAAGGATTTTCACCTGTAATGCTTGCATGTGAATCAAATGAGAAAAAAATAATACAGGTGTTTCTTGACAATGTGCAAGATGAAGACAAATGGAAACCTCTGCGCGTGGCATGTAAAAATAGTTTGAAATTTCTATACGAGCAGGAAAAAAACCCGAAAGAGCAAACATGTCCCGTGAAACCATTGACCGTTGATATCATGATAACTATAATAGCCGATTTAGTCAAATATAAGCGTATAGAAATTCAACGAGTACTCGAAGCAGTCAATTCCCAAAACGACACTGACTATTTCGAAAACGAGAACAAGGATGACGAGTCTGACAGAAATGCGATTAATGATAACAACAGCTCTGACAATAAATTGTCACCATTATGGAAAGCGTTCGAAATTAACAATATGAATTTAGTACGATTGTTAATCGAGGGTAATGTTGACATAAACAAATGTAATGGTAGTAATGTCACACTATTAATGAAAGCATGTGAGTTAGATGAGTCATATATCGACATATTGAAATTGCTAATTAAGAAAACTAATGACATCAACGCACGCAACAAAGAAGGCCAAACTGCACTTTTTATAACGTGTAACAAAAGAAATCCTAGCTTCAAAATTGTTCAATCTCTATTTGAAGATCAGTCTCTTGAAACTCCAAATTGTACAATTGGTAACAATTTCAATCGAACACCTTTGACGACACTTTTTCGCAATTTTGATGAAAAGAACAACAATTTTACTGACATTATTATCTATCTTATTAATCATTTCCCTGTGGGATACGATATTGACCATAAACTCTCTGAAGACAAAACGTATTTGTCGTATGCTTGCAAATATGCAAGTTATAAAATAGTACACTGTCTTTTACAAAAAGGAGCAAAATTAAATGATTATTGTATAGAGATCGCTAAACAACGAGGTGATACGAAGATAATTGGTTTGTTACGGTCTTAAACTGTCAAATTTGAATAGCTACTTTTATTTTGAAGTGCACGATGATACAACATCAACAATATAAAGTTATTAAAATATAAACGTGTGCAGCTTATTGTTTGTCTATTATGTTTATTTATTTCTATTCCGTTAGATTTGGATTTTCCCTTTTCTGTTTCCATCATTAGAAACTGTGAAACAAGTTTGAAGTCTTTGTGTAAGTACTGCACGGATATTTCTTTGTCGGTACATGTATCAATGGTGGGGTTCTATAGTCATGTATAAGTCCGATACTTGTAGAGTTTGTATCTAGGAGCTCATAGTCATTTTTAAGTACAACACATTCTGCATAGTATGTCCGACGTACAAAGACTTAAATCAGTATTGCATAAAATTATTCACAGTGATCAAAACGGGTATGTAAAAAACAGATATATTGGGTTTAATATTAGACAAATCCAAGATATTATAGACTATTCAGAAAAATTCAACGTTGACGGGGCAATTCTTTTTTTTAGATTTTTCAAAGGCATTTTACTCGTTAGAATGGGAATTTATGTATATTGTTCATTAAAGAAATTTGGCTTTCAGAAATCTTTACTGAAGTGGATAAATACTTTCTATACATATATAAAGGGATGTATATTAAATAATAGGTGGATTTGAAGACCCTTCAGCATTGAGCGCGGGATCCGTCAAGCGTGTCCCGCGAGTTCTATAATTTTCGTTATTGCTGTTGAAGTTTTAGCCTGTAGATTAAGACAAGATAAAAAATTTAAAGGTTTTCAAATCAAACTAGATAATAAAACCCATACTCTAAAGTTAAGCCAGCTTGCAGATGACACCACTTTATTTTTAAATTCAAAACAAGAAGTCTCATTAACTTTGAACATTATATAAATTTTCGGATCACTTTCAGGCATTAAGCTTAATCGAAATAAAACAGAGGGGATATGGCTCGGAAATTTAAAGTCCTGTTAAGATAAAGTTGAAAACATTAAGTGGACACAAGAACCGATAAAAGTATTAGGGATATATTTCGGACTTAATAAAAATGAGTGTAAAAAATTAAACTTGCAAAGACAATACGAAAAATCGGAAAAAATAATTAAAGATTGGAATAAAAGAAAATTAACTATGTTAGGTAAAATAACTCTTGTTAAATCACTAATCCTACCAAATATAACCTATGTTGCATCAGTAACAGAAATTGATAAAGAATATCTCGCAAAATTTAAAAAAATAATATATAGTTTTATATGGAATTATAAACCAGAAAAAGTTAAAAGAGCTATAATAAGTAAAAATTATCTTGCTGGCGGACTTAAAGTGATAGACATAGATAAATATATAGAATCCATAAATATTAATTGGGTAAAAAGACTCATTGATAATGAAAACTCATCACCCAATTGGAAAGTCTTACCAAAATTTTACTTAGACAAGTTTGGACAAGAATTCCTTATATTTAAAATGGACTTTAACAATATTAATTTGATTAATAAACTAAAATATATTGTTCCAGAATTTTACTTAAAAATAATCATGGATAAACTCAAAATCTGAAAAAGAATCAGATCGACTAACATATAAGCATATCAGACAGCAACTAATATGGGGCAATAAGCATATCAAATTAAATGGTAAATGTCTTATTTTCAAAAATTGGATTAACAGCAAAATTTTATTTGTAAATGACATAATTGATGATAAAGGAAAAATTAATCAAAATAAGGTTTTAAATAAACTGTCTTGCCATGCTAATTGGTTTTCGGAATATACTAAATTGATGAAAGCAATACCAAAACAGTGGTTACAAGAGCTCATAAAAGAAGAGTCAATTAAAACAAAAGTCGCTACCGACTCCGAATTTAAATTCAAAGATAGAGATGGAAAAATGGTACCAATAAAAACATTTTCCTCGAAAGATATCTACATCTCGCTTTTAAATAGATATTGAGAGAAAGCAATAGGATTTCAAAAATGGGACAGAATTCTAAATTTAGATAACAACACAAGGAAAAGAGAACAAATGTTGTACTTTATCTTTAACTATATCCAAGATAATAAACTGAGAATGTTAAGATGGAAATTTCTACATTACATTTTATCAACCAAACAATTACTTTTCTCTTGGAAAATAACTAAAACTCCTTTATGTAATATATGTTATGTCATTGAAGATTATGAACATTACTTTCTGACATGCAAATATCTAAAATCATTTTGGAATCAAATAAAACTAATACTAGACAAACTTAAAATAAGACATCATATAATATCACTTGCATCACTTTTGTATGGATACAAGATAAACGATACAAATTATTACAATATCAACGATATTCTAACAACCATACTTTTTACTATATATAAAGTATATTATATATCCGAGCAGAAAACAAAACAAATTAATATGTTTGAAATTTTTAAAAATGAACTTCTCCAACATTACGAAATATTGACAGATAAACAAGGCAAATATAAAAACTTCTACAATTTGGTTGCAGAAAAAATTAATTTATCTTTTTAACTAAGATTTATAATATATCATAGTAACTATAAGTATGTCCGACGTAAGTTCTGACTAAGGCCATAATGCTACTGGTGATGATCATCATGATACAGATTTGACTACCAATGGGGCTTCTTCACTTTTAACGTCAGCTTTAAACAATGCTTTAGAAAAACAGAAGGAATCGTTCATTAGCCATTTTGAAGCTCGGTTAGGCAAAAGTACGAAAGCAGCCGGTGTCGACCACTATAAATTACATTCAAGAGCGAAGGAATCACGATTCAGCAAACGTTTTGATAAACTTTCCGGCATTGAAAGCTGTTTATAATTTGGTAACATTATTGAAGTTGGTAATATTATTTCCCAGGAAAAAGAAATAATTTTTAAGCGAAATTAGATCCTCAAAATAGCCGGTAAACACGGTTGGGACAGGGTAAAGGAATATTTGGACAGTCCGTTGGCAGAAAATAAAGAAGATGCTACTGATTTCCGTACTGCTATTTCTAGGGCTACTAAAAAAATCAAAACCGTACGACAAACCCGATACTGGAATTAGAGGTTCCAGTCGAGAAAAAATTTAATTCCAGAAGTTTTTTTGTGGCCAAAGAAATATACAAGTGCTTCATTGCAATCAACCGGACACTTCATTTGGAACTGTCCTAAAAAAGTATCCCTACAGCCACATTTGGTGATCAAAACACAATAAATCAAAGTAACTCTCAGATCTCTAGGGTTTAAATTAGTGTACAATCTATTACACATTGTCATAACCTGAGAGATTTTTAATTCAAATTTGAGTAATTTAATCAATTTACTTATAAGATAAATTATTATTATTTACAAAGTAAATTTACAGCAAAAATGCATTCATCATTTTGGTAAAATGTGCTAAAAATGATTTTATAAGGATGCTAATATTGGTTATAGAATTCCAGTTCTTTGTAATCCACCTTCTGTTTTTAAAAGTAATAGATCAGCTTTACAACACTCAGAGTTTTCTGTAAATTCCATAATAGAAATAAATAGTCCATTTGTGGTTAATTCACTTACTGTTTTGATGAATAGTTTAGGCAAAGAAAGGTTGGTTTAAGATTTTAGACATATTAATACATTTGTTGAAAAAATAGAGTTATATTTGAAGGGGTGAAAGAAGCTATAACTTTGTATTTGATAACCTACAAGTACATATAGAAATTTTCAGTAATATTGGTAACGTGGCCGTTATAGGTGATCTAAACGGTGGTGTAGGCCAAGAACCCGATAACATAACAGGTGATGTTATAGACAAACAATTACAAGACAACATTTCTTTCATTAACTATGTAAATGATGATGTATTTTTAAACAGACACTCGGAAGATATCAAACCACCAAATAATTTTGGCCAACGCATCCTGCAGTTATGTAAAAACTCTGGGCTATGTATTTGTAATGGAAGATTTGGTAAAGAAATTCAGAAAACAACGTTTAACAATAAGAATGGGTGTAGTGCAATAGACTATATGTTAATTTCACAAAATATTATGTTCAATATTATTAATAGTTTTTCTGTTGGATCATTTAATCATTTTTCTTGTCATGCACCACTTGAAGTTGATTTTAATCTTACTGATAATATTGTTAAAAAAGACCAGTGTAATTGTTCTAACCATGTTTGTGATATTTTTAAATGGAACAAGGGGTGCGAAGATCAAATCAGAGACAGTTTATTGTTGAACACTCAACAGTTTGAACACTTACTCACAAATATAGACCAAATTAGCGATATTGATTGTTGCGTGGAAGAATTGAATAAACTTTTGAAAGATATTTGAACAATACACAAAGTCAGAAGTAAAATACAAAAACATTGTGACTCCTGCCCTACAAGTAGAAAAACACGTGACCAAAAAGATGATAAACCATGATGTACAGATTAATGTTAAAGTTTAAATAGAGACTATATAGGGGCTATGATGAATTTTAATAGATACCGGTCGAATGAAAATAGACTACATTTTAATTTAGCCAAACAAAGATACAAACGATTGGCAAATCAACTGAAAAGACAGTATAAAAATCAACAGGGGAATATGTTATCTAAATTACGAAAAAATAACCCTAAACGATTTTACAGGAAATTCAAAAAGCGCAAAAAACTTGTTACCCATACGCTTACTGTGGAAGAATTTGAAAAACATTTTAAAAACCTGATTTCAAAAGATGTCACTACAGAGGATCAGCATAGTGATTCTACCCCAGAGGCTGTATACGAAGAATAAGACTCTCCTTTCACAGATTTGGAACTTGACATTTCTATAAAGCCTTTAAAACGTGAGAAATCCACTGGGTATGACAATATTATGAAGGAATATATATTAACGAGCAGAAACATTATCAAACCAGTATTGTGTAAACTGTGTAACCGTATATTGAGTGCTGGCGATTTTCCAGAAATATGGGTTAACAACATTATAATACCAGTTTACAAAAAAGGACCAGTAAACGACCCAGGCAACTATCGTGGTATTTCTCTCGTATCACATGTGGGTAAACTGTTCACATCAATTATTAACCCCAGGCTTACCAAATGGAGAGAAAAACATAATATAATAACCGAT